TGGCAGCATTTGCTCTGTAATTCTACAATAATCCTCTCAACACTTTGAATCAGGCAAATTAAAATTGTCCAGTTTATTACTAAATTATCCAGTTTAATTTGTATTATAGCAAAGGGAAAAGAGACACTATCATGATCAAGGATGCGGAAATACAAAGTCCATGATCAGAAGCTCTGTCATTCTACATGTCAGATGCTCTATAGAGGCAGAGAGGCTCAATGTAATGCTTTGTTGGAAAAAGCCAGACGCTAAACTTTTTTTCAAGTTGTGACCAAGATTGGAACTGATAGAAAAACTCAGAAGGAATAAGTCTACCCAGAGGGAGAGACAATCGGTATATTTGGGGATACCTCATATCAATAAAGACATTAAAACAATCCTCTCTACTGCTACAGTTGCCTTCCCCAAACTTACAAAACAACACAGTATCTCTCAACAGCCATGAAAATATTCATGCAAAACACGTTTGAACCAAATATTGGTCTTCTCTAGTGAGTTTGCAAGGTCAAAACTATAATTTCTCATCTGAATAAAGAGAAAAATATAAAAGCCTACTCTTCAGTAATGCATTTAAAAATTTAAAAATGCACTTAATTTTTAAGACTCCCCCCAAAGTTTAGATTATTGAATGTATTTATTGGCTACCCTGTATCCCAACTTCATTATTTAATTTAAAAAAATATTGTTATGATGAACTGCTCTTTGTTTTCTGAAGTAAACCTAGACTTAAAGATTGCTGTTAATATGGTTTTGTTATTCTATCCAGTGTAGAAGTTTCCTTCTGTTAGTTAGATTGCTTTAATTCACACTGATGCTTTTTATAATATATTGGATCGACAATACTGTTTTGATGCATTTGAAGAAATTGATGAATGCTGTAGTGTTTTTCCACTTCACCCTGTCCATAAAACACATTTCTTCTTCAATCATGGACATGTCATAAGAGCAGAAATCTATTGAAAGTGAAGATTGCAAACAATAAAATGCTAGCAATGGCTTTTTTGCCCATAAAGCTGGACAGCTGCCTTGGTTTCCCTTCTGCTCTAATTAGGTCTGACAAGTTTACAGTGCTGTGTTTAGAGAGTTTCCCTGCCCATACAAGGCATTTAAAGTCAATGATGACATCTCTCTTTAGAAGTGACTCTGTGCAGATGCTCAAGACAGTTCTTCCAATCCTAAATTGGTTAAAGAGTTACAGAGGAAATGCCCAGTTTTAAAGTTTCTGCTCCTATTGTGTCTCAAATCTTCCTTTTATAGAGTATCAACATTTACTTTTTAACTGATGAAAGTCTTTGGGGATGTGAATCCTCCAGGAGCTTTTAATCTAAATATACAAATATGGATGGTGATATTTTTAAATCGAAGTCTTTAAGAGACCTTAAATTTAATGTGGATTTCTTTAAGAAGTACAACTTAGCCAGTGGGCAGACATCGGCAAAAAATTGCCCACTGGGGGATAGGTACCATCATAGTATATAATTGTCACTATTATTTGATTCCAGATGGATTATATTTCCTTTAAAGATCTGTTAGCAATTAATGCTGGGCAATCCAGACACCAATTTGCAGGATGCAGGACTCACTATTTTTTTCCACTATGCTTCCGTACCGCACCTGAAGTTAATTCTCCTAGCAGAGGCAGTGGGAATCAGAAATACTATGAAGTAAAATGTACATGAGGCTGGCGCTTCATGATGTTACATAGAAGGCATCTTGTTTAAATTGTTATTGCTGAATTACTTTTGTGTATGATCTTGGTAGCATTGATTCTGTTTGCTAGAGGAACCAATTATGATGGCTTTTTTCTCTAAGGAACTGTACTAAAATATAAACACGTATATTGATTGTAGACTTTATACCTATATTAAATAATTACAATTGAAAATGCTGCAATTCTGAATTTTTTTTGATGCGTGCATGTTGTGTGTGTGTGTGTGTGTGTGTGTGTGTGGTTTCAATACCTAGGCCATTAGTTTCTTCAAAATATTGTGCCCGCATATATTATCAGATTTTAAAAACTGGCACCATGCTTAGTAAACTGGGGATTTGGTGTGAATTTCTCTATTCAAAGAGGGTAGATCTTTTTAACAATTCTTATGGTCCTTGACACACGACCATAATGGAGTCTGCCCATTACAGTTTCATGTTGTGATGGCTGTTAGGCGAGACAGCTTCACTTAACAACTCTCACCCCTGCTTTCCCTGATGTGGTCGCTAAATGAACATGTCAGTCATTAAATGGAGCATGGGATGCCTCAGGGGCTGGGAAGGCCCTGAGAAGGAGAGTGCAGGCCCAGGCCCTCCTGCCCCGGTCTCTCAAGGCCTCTCTACCCCCTGGGACATCCCATGTTCTCTTCTGTCCCTCCGGGTCCCCACAGCCCTTGGGCCTGCTTCCCCCCCCACTGGTTCCCCACAGGCCTTTGCCTCCCCCAATGGATCTCTATAGGACTTAGGTCTGATTCCCAACCACTAGGACCCACACCCTCCTCTTACCTTTGGAAGAGAGCTCTGGAGCCTTCTGTAGTGTTGGAACAAGACACTTCATCACAGTGCGATTCTGGAAGCGACTGCCATGTTGCCAGTTGACACACTGAACTATTGCTAAGAACATGGTGGCCGCTTCTGGAATTGCACCACTTGGTCACGCAATGAAGCAATCCTTTCTGCTTTCCTAACGCAGTGTGCCCAGCGTTGCGGAAAGCATTGGGACTTTCATTTCTGCTAAGTCTGGTCTCTGCAGCTGATTTTTCCTTCCTCAAGATAAGATCTTTACACTTGTTATAATTAAGCATCTTGTTATGTTTTACTCAGTATTCGTAACCTACTGAATATGAGCATATGGGTATGATAAGAAATAACAGTCCCTTTCTTATTATTGCCTTGGACAATAATAGAAATATTTTTAGATTATTATAGGCTCTGTCTAAATAATAGACAGAAAGTGTAATTTCATTTTGTTTCTTTCTCTGGTGATAGCCTGGTGATAAAAAAAAAAAAAGATGAGTTCCAAAACAATGCCAATGAGCACAAATACTAACATTTCTTGGTTCTTTATTGAGTAGGGAAACATCCGTTTCCATTTACAAGAGAGACCGGAAATAACTACCCCCACTCAACCTATTCTTTCCCTGGACCTCAAATACTAGCCGTTAGAAAACCTATAGCAACTGAGAAAGTCAAAGTCTGCTGTTAATTAGACTTGTTTGTTTATATATTGGCTAAGATATAGTTTGATCTACCTGCCTGGATGCGAATATGTATGAAGTTAAAATTAAAAAATCAAAGGGTTTTTCTCAATTCATAGACAATTAGTTGAAAAATGCAGTTTTCAGCCTTTATCGATTAAAATATGTGTCCTCCCACCTATACCTTGAAAAAGCATATGCTTTCTGTATTCCACAAAACTAAGAGGAAAAGCTCACTATTTATAGATATCTACAAGCCAATGTTACGGTGCTGGATTTTTTGAAACAAGTGGTCTGATCTTGGCTCTTTGTATATTACACTGTGTTCTCCTTTGAGAAAATTTTGCTTTTTTAACCTCTTTTCTTCTTCTTTTCTTTATTGTTGTGATTCTTTTCTTAGCTAGAGTTGTATCCAAATCTCATTGTTAGAACAGTAAATTCTATTCCTAATTCTAAATGCATTAGTCATGTTATTGTTTCTGAAGAAATACAGCGGCATAGTTATATCCATAGCTTAGAAGCAAGGTGGGATTTGTTCAAATGTAGTCATTTTTGTCATAATGAGCATAGTTAAGAGTTACATTTAGTCAGCAATCCTGGCTTTAAAAGTTACACGAGTCATTCTTTCCTGTTTTTTTCAGTAGCAAGTAAATATACCGTACAAATGTGTTTTTGTACTGGAAAGTATTTTGGATAATCCTGGATTATGGCAAGCAGGCTATTTGCTTGTTTTCTCTTTTATAATTCTTCCCATGTCCACTGCATGCCAGGTATGCAAATTAGATCTAATACTGGTTATAGATCCTGGTTTGTATGAGAATGATAAATCAGAATCTCTAGTTCAGATAACACACTAAGCTGTCCTCTCTTTTTAGCATTGTCCCTTTTCCATCTTGTCAGTTTTAAGAAAAAATAACATATTTGATGGTTAAGGTTACCTTTTCCCAAACTGGCCATTTCCAGATGTGCAATTGACTGGTGCATATGTTAGCAGATAGTGGGGAACATGTAGGCTTGTAACTCACTTTACTGTAAAGCAATTGTGTTTTTGGAGTCCTAACTTTTAGGCTCCTCTGTTGAACATTCTGATGAAATTAGGGTTGGCACTTCTAAGAGACTATGTCCCACCTTCTTGAATCAGCCAGAAAGATTTTGGCTACAAGCATTATTCCGCATCTTGTTCAAATGATTGGAATCCAAGAGATAATTGGGATAATTTTCCAGATGTTGAGAAATCAATGCAGGCAGATGAAGGCTTATTAAACTTTCATTGACCTAAAGTTGACAGATGATAATCTGATTCATATATTGAGTGGTGCTTTTTTTTTTAACTGTTATGGCATAAAAATACCACATGATGTTAATTATCTTAATATACAATATAAATGCAATAAATCCATAATCGTTGTCTAAACAATGTAATATATAACGAATCTAAGAACAGCACAACTTAAAGGGGTCCTCTGTAAATGTAGCCTGCACATCTTCTCAACAGTGCTCCTCTAAAAAAAAAGGTTGGAGACTAGACAAAAGTTGTTCAGAGAATTTTTATATCCAACATAAATAAATACACGCAGAAAGATATGGTGTTTATCTACACATACATATACTGTACATATACGTACAGATACATTTTTGGACTGATTACCACGAGTCAATGTGGCTCTGACTTCAGATAAATCTTGAGGTGAAGGACAAGGTTCAGGAGTAATCATAAAGTGAATTTGGCAGAAGCTGTGGGAACTATGGGGCTAAGCAGCCTGCATTGTAAACTAACAAAGTCTTGTTTGTATTTGGCATTTTTTATATGCTCAGGTGGATTTGCAGCTGCAGTCACCACTCCTCTAGATGTAGCCAAGACAAGAATTATGTTGGCAAAGGTAAGAACTTGAAGAAGAGTGTAGAGATGGCTGGCAAGTTTTCAGATTAATAATTCTGGCATCTTGCTTAGTGGCAGCAACAAAACTGAATCCAGCGTCTATTGATAATTTTAATACAAGAATCATAGTGAGAACAGGTATATTTCATTTCTGCATTGACTAAAAGAACTGCTACCTTTGTCTTCTTCAGTAAACTAGTTCTAGGAGCAAACTTCTATCTTTGAAAGACCAAGCAGCTTTCCAACTCACTGTTTTTTTGTGTGACATGATATTCGTAGGCGATAACATTTACAGTACTGTTAATGATGAGTATCTGTTTGGTAGAATAAATGGAAAACTTTAAGTGCTTGACTGTGAGCTGTAGGGCATATTTATTATTTATTAAGAAAATGTATATAGTTGCCTCCATTTAATGTAAATAGAGATGAGATAAGATAAGATAACCTTTATTGTCATTTTTTTACTGTGGGCACAATGGCACACATCAAAAATGAAATTTAGTTGCCCACTCTCAAACTGAAACACATACATGACACACACCTAAATATATTATTATTTTATGTTATATTGCAAATATATGTTACAAATATATAGTAAGAAAATGGATATGGTTGCCTCCACATAAATTATATAAATTATGAATTCCCTCACTGTGACTTCTGGAAGCTTACAGAAGTAAAATCCCAATTCAAAACCCAATAAACCCCTATCCACCTGGTTCAAATAATCAAAGAAACCACTTGATGGGCTCCATATCCCCCTGGGGTCCCTAGGCCTGTTGACAAAACTATGTCTTCGAGGCCTTTCAAAAGAGTGTCAAAATGGCAGCCAATCTTCTCAGGAGTGATGATCCACAGGGAGGGAGCCACCACAGAGAAGAACTAAATATTCATTATCCATTGCATATCCATTGCAGATAATTGTTTCCTAGTTCAGTAATTTAGTGAAAGAGTTCCAGCTATGAGAGACCTTTGTATGACATTTTGGATAAAATGATGGTTTTCTTGGAGACAGCTTTTTATATGTATATATCTGTTTCTTTGTCTGAATAGACTGGCTCCAGAACTGCAAGTGGGAATGTGATGTCAGCTCTTCGAGATGTATGGAGAACTCAAGGAATATCTGGGTAAGGATAAATAAAGGGACAGGGATGATTTGACGGAAAATGTAAACACATTTTTTTCAGTGGAAAGTCGTTACTTTTTTTTCCTGAATGTCTAAGCAAAGCAACATATATGTATATTTTTTCACTTAAATGTTCCATGCTTTAAAGTTTGGGTATGTGCTGTCTGGTGATAATTCATGAGAAAGTCTTTGAGAAAGTTAAATTGATGTCAGCTAGATAGTTTTTGTGGAGGGCTGTGAACCAAGTAGTGTTTTTTTTCATAATTTGTGTATATTGCAACCGTGTAAATAATTCACAGTGGGAAAGTTTTTTTGTTGCTTAGGGAAGCTAACAATCATAATCTGTTTTGTGACTGGTCTAAGTCCATTGTTAAGGCCTTCTGTAGTTTATTTTGAATCAAAAGATAGCAGAGTTTTCCCCAAAGAGCATCAGGAAAATTACGATTAACACAAAATATTTATAGATCTACTGTATGCAGTGATGGGATTCAGCCGGTTCGCATCGGTTCAGGAGAACTGGTAGCTAAATTTTGCTGCATTCGGAGAACCGGCTGTCTTCCAGAAGTCCAGTCTAGGCCTGGGAGGCCTGGAGGAGGCCTCCCAGACCTAGAACGGCCAGCCAGAAGTGCATGGATGCCACTTCCAGAAGTCTGTTCTAGGCCTCCCAGGCCTGGAAGAGGCCTCCCAGGCCTAGAATGGCCCACCGGAAGTGTGTGATGCCACTTCCGAAAGTCTGTTCTAGGCCTCGGAGGCCCAGGTCTTCATCGAATAAGAGAACCGGTTGTTCAGGTATTTGAATTCCACCCCTGACTGTACGTATTCTTTTTTTTATTTCATAGATTTATAACTTACTTTTCCTGTAGGAGTTCAGACACTATATAGTTCACATTTTCCTCCAGTTTATCTTCCCCAAAACAACAAGAATTTAGGCTGCAAGGCAATTAGTGGCCCTAAATCAGTCAATGAACATCTATAGCTAAATGTAGACTTCAACTCATGAAACGCAGAACATGGAATAATAGAGTTGGAAGGGATCTTGGAGGTCTTCTAGTCCAACCCCCTGCTCGAGAAGGAGGTGCTATACCATTTCAGACAAATGGTTGTCCAGTCCCTTTTTGAAAGCCTCCAGTGATGGAGCACCCACAACTTCTGAAGAAAAGCTATTCCATTGGTTGATTGCTCTCACCGTTAGGAAATTTGTCCTTACTTCTAGGTTGCTTCTCCCCTTGGTTAATTTCCATCCATTGTTTCTTGTCTTGCCTTTTGGTGCTTTGGAAAATAGTGTGACCCCCCTTGTCTTTGTAGGAGCCCCCCCAAATATTGGAACTCAGTATTTAAGAACTGGAGTGTGTTCAGTTCTTAGCCAACTTTTGAACTGATTTATTAAAAGAATGTTTCATTAGTTCTATACTACAAAGCAATTGCCGTGTCTGTTTGTTTTAGATGTGCATGTGTGTGTGTGCTTTCAATAGTTTTTGCGTAAAAAAATACTGTAAGGACATGAAGTTTGCATACTGTTTTCTAGCTGCCTATTATTTATCAGTAAGCAGACACTTTATGCTTGGTGAAATGTAGTGTATTAAAACAATAGTGTTCTTTCTAATTGTCACAGAATAAGTCACAAAATCAACAGTGTCAAAATAAACAATAAATATGATAGCTGGGAAGCAAAGGAAATGGAGTCTGTGGACCCTTTAAATGTTTCAGTGATTTTCTCCCACACTGTTCTAGTGCAAAAAATCCTTCCTCACCTTGGAAGATGCTTAGTCTAATAAGGCTTATCAGCCATTGCTTCATCTTGGCCTTAACTTACCCTTCCTTTTAGCATATCACACACACACACACACACACTGTTTTCTCTCTCCCATTTCTTGAGAAAGTTTTTGTCTGCTTGAAAAATTATCTGCTGTTCTCTCCAGCCCATATCAGGGTAGAAGACCGATGTCTGTGTCTGGGCAGTCGTGTAACCCAATGATAGACAGTGCTCAGTGATCTCATTCTGTCACAGCAGCTTTTAGCCACAGCAGCCCTTGTTAGCTCCCCAATATGAAAAGGAGACACATGTGGACCCCTGGATCATAAGGTTTGTAGGAAGGAAGGGAGGGAAGGAGGGAGGGAGGGAGGGAGGGAGGGAGGGAGAGAGAGAGAGAGAGAGAGAGAGAGAGAGAGAGAGAGAGAGAGAGAGAGAGAGAGAGAGAGAGAGAGAGAGAGAGA